TAGCAGCAATTCTATGAGAATTAATGTCCGATTTTTCTTTGCAAACTTGTGGGACTTTGAGATGACAGCAGCTTATCTAGTTTTCTCACAGGCCAGTTGAATTATAATATCTCAATATATACAAATATGTAATTACAAATTTAGAAAAATCAGCTACTGTTAATGTCAACTTGCAGATGAAAGGCAGTATACACCAGCCTTATTCAAAACTAAACTGTCATAGGTAAAGAATTGCTTCTTAACATGGTACTGAAATCTACTCATGGAAAAAAGTTTGAAGATTCCCAGATTGAGTCATGCAGAATCACACTGAATGCATGAAAGAGACGATCTACACTTTATTTATCTAATGTGTCCTTGTTGCAGTGACTGTGCTCGTACCAGCCCCTCTTCTGCTGCAAAAGACGACAACATGGCACAGAAGCTGTGGGAGCTGAGCTGCAGTATGCTCTCCATTACATGGGAATAAACCAACCTGGAGGGAAAAGAAAAACTTTAGCGTGTTTCTCTGCTAAATGCTGCAATAGAGCTGATTTCACCACCACTGCCTGCCTGGAAATAAGGTGCAAATGACCTCATACACTTGCATTCAGTTTTATATTTTTCCAACAATTGTTTTGTGTGTATGTTTTACACAATAACCGTAATTAACCAATATAAGTGTATATTGTGTGTAAAGTTTATGATCTTGATGTATGTAATTTACTGTGAGCTTAAATAATGTTCTACTCATTTTGATTAAAGTTGTGCAAAGGTTATTTGAATGATGTAATCAAAATTTAAAAGAATGATTTTCCCACTAGTTGCTGTAAAACCGTAGTGTAATTTATTTTGTGATTTTTGCCCTCTATCAACCAGGTAAAAAGATTAAAAATTTAAAGCCTTGACTTTGAACCCACATCACACACTGATCCTTGCATCAGTTTTCTTCCATCTACATTACTATCATTATTTGCTTTGTCATCATTGCTGGCGTGTTTAATAAAGACACGTGGTTTATGCAAGGAAATAATGTGACCAGTGGTCACATTATTTATTATCTGCACCTTGTGCATCAGTAATCGGCTGCTGCTTTGTCCAAGAGTTAGAAACTGATTATTTTCCTGTGGGGAAATTTTGTCATTGAGGCAGACACACAACCATCACAGAAACTCGCTAGAATGAATGTAAAATATAAAATGTAGCTGCTATTATTATTGCTGCTCACTAATATATTGTGAGAAAAAGGAAAGAAATTGCTACAAATAAATTTTCAAAAGAAACAAAAAAACGGGGTGTTGTACTCATTTTAAAATAGTTAATAAATGTTTGAAAGTGATGTCACTCCTTTTACTCATCTTTTACTCATATCTTACCTAACTCCGGACTTCCCGCCCCTCCGGCGCAGCCCGCATTCACATCCGAGCACATTCACCACAGAGGGCGGGCTTTAACTTACATTTAACCAATCAGCGCTCTCTAAGAGTGACGGAATCACCGCTGATTGGTTGAAATTCTAGCCTATCGAACAATACTACTTATTGACAGTTCCGGCTCGCCACTTTTTAATCCTCAGGGTCTTTAGAGACATTTGCGGGTTTAATGTGGTGTTAAATCTGACTTTACACCTTTGTTCAGGTTTTGAGGAGTTACTGCAGTCGACCTGAGTGCTGTCATAAAGAAAAATGCCAAGGTGAGGAAACTATTTATCCAAAAATTCTTCAAACGTCTGAACAAATTCTGTAGTTTTCCTGTATTTCTGCTCAGGTGACATTTTTAAATCCTAATTTAATCAAAGATGACTGAAATTATTAAATCCATGGCTTAAAAACAGTATTGATAATTGATTTTGTTTGCTGCAGACGAGTGTATTCTGTCATACTTGTTGTTGTGTTTTGTGTGCTGCTGTCACACCCATGTTGCTGGTTGAGACATTCACAGAGGTTTCTCAATTTCCTAGAACTATGTTTTGTCGTGCCTGGTCCTCTGCTGAA